GGCGCTAGGAGGTAATGTGAGCGATCTGGTGGTCTTCAGGGAAGGAGGCGAGTGTGGGTTATCAAGGTCTGATGACGGTGACGAGATACGTACCTGGTGCATGAAGAGAGATCGGCTATGGTGTTGACATCATATACATTGGTCTTCGAGAGTCGAAGTGAGCCTGTTGCATGAACACAGCTGTAGGTAGGATAGTAGAGTAGAGTAGGCTGGGCGCTGGGCCCCAGACAGAGAGGAGCGACTTTGGATACTTTGTTGGTGTGGCCTGAGGGCTTGAACATTGGCTCATTACTTCATTGTATTGCTCTATTTGGATGGATTCTCGGTGCAATTGTGCTCTCTGCTTGTACACGACTACTTGGACATCTGTGTGATTTCGCAACTTGGTTTTCTGTATATCGTTTACATTCATATTCCTTGCAATAGGAAAAATAAAAGGGAAGGAAATCGTATTCACATTATGGGAGGCCTCCCAGCTTGCCCAAGAAAACACATGTAATGCCCTCAACATTATAGAGGAAGAAGAGGTTACCCTTTCCCAGCTCTAACTAGCCAGCACAGGATACGAAAGACAGGGAATAATAGCTTACAGATAAAGTTGATAAACAATCAGAAAACAGTTGAGGACACTGGCACAACCCTAGCTAGCCAGGTAAACCAGACAGCCCCATAGCAGACAAGAGTGAAGGAAGAGCCTAATTTCAATCAAACCCGCAGAGTAAAAGCTAGACGACAAGAGAAACCCAGAGGAAGACACTTCGGAGGGTTCGGGGGTTTAGACCGAAAAGACACAGCAACATACTTAAAAAGACGGAAATAGGCAGACCCAGGATAAGAGGACAGGTTTAAGGGCACCAAAAGTTAGAAGCACATACAGTCCTAGACAGCAGACATTCCTGGAAAAGGAAACCCCAAAGTTCTGGGGGGTTAGCGAAACCAACAGGGACCATCAGTCACAGCTTGCTCTAGACACACGTGCAAAACTGACAGCTATACAGCTGAGAGGAGCAATGAGTGACGAAATAGGCATACAAAGCTCTACTAAATACTGCAAACACACACCAAAGAGTAGCTACAATAGGCTAACTTAGGTAGGGGTGAGCGGTGGTACATCCTCCCTACTGGAAGTAATCAATGTCGTCCACTCCGGGCTCTCAACCTTGTACTTTTCATTGACTTGCCGGGGGAACAGGAACCGGAATGTCGCTCCCCAGAATGGCAGGAACCATAACCAAGAGGTTCTGATTAATTAAGGAAAAAAAAAAAAAAAAGAGTTATAGATCCCGGAGACGTTGAGATGTGGGCGGATATTCTCATGGGGGAACTGCCTCTGCCTTGGGGATTGAGATGAATTTTGGATGAATATGGTCGCAATGAAATAGGCGCAGGAGCGTAACAGGTAGTTTTCCTAAGATGTGATCAGAGTGGACTTGCTGATCATGGGCATAGCGGGCGACGAAGTTGGACCAGGATGGGGGTGTCACCTGAGTGGACGAGGCAGAAAGGCGATGCTGTGGCGTCCTTGGGATGCATGCAGTTATGTTTTTTGCACATTGTGTTCTCCACGAGAGTAAAGCCTCACACATTGTGCTTTTCAGTCTACCTGCTAAGCTGTTCCTCTGCATTTCCCAAAAAATTAAAAAAGGGGGATAATTCGGGCGAGTACTTACTGGTGAGCAAACTACCTGAATACCCATGAAGGTCACAAATATTGCAGTTCGCCACCGAATGATAAAGTTTCCATGATATGCCTAATAGTCAGGGATATTAGAGATAGGTCCCTTAGAGTATACTCACACTAGGCCCTCAAAATGGCAACATCGCAAAGCGAGCGCCCAGATGGAATCCTCCTTTCAGAGGGACTCAATCTGGCCGCTGATTTTGTGATTCTGCTATTTTGAGGACCTTTTGTGAGTATGCCCTTATTTTTGGACAAATTTCGGAAATGCCCCAGACAATTAGGGATATTGCAGGCTAGCCTCTCACTTCTGAGTGATTTCAGAACCCCCCCCCGAAAGACGAGATGTTGTGGACGAGTCCTCCAACTTATGAGCAAATTCCATGAAGGAAGTTGTGGATACAGCAGAATAGCGCATGGTCTCACAAGCGGGTCTCGTAACAATCCTCGAAAGTTGAGAATATCATGAACGAGCTCCCATTGATTGGGAAATTTCAAGCAGATTTCTAAACAATTATGAACGAGTTCCTGCTAACTAGTGATGAATGAGCATCTGAACTTGACTATCGACGGAGACTCCTCTTTTGTTTTGGGACGTTGGAAGCCAGCCTCCTTGACCAAATAATTCTAAGTGGTATTTCGAGAAGTCACTGCCGGGATAATGTACAAGTGCAAAGTCGTGACTTAAGAAGTCAAGATATATTACTGATGACAAGGAGCTGTTCACATGAAGAAGAGGCATTTGTTAAGGAGAACTGCTTACCTGAAGGAGCAGGTTCTAAAGTGCCGCGTAAGTGAGCAGGGATCGGGACCTGTGTAATAAGCAGACAGAAGTCAAGCGACAGTCCCCCTGTGCAGTATACGAACAGGGGTCAGGTCGAGCTCTGCTGCTCCCTGTGCAGTAATTACGAACAGGGGTCGATCCCTGCTGCTATCTATGCAGTATACTAACGCAGGCCGTGTTCTGCTGCAACCGTGCAGTATAAAAACACGGAACGGATTACGTCATACCCTGTGCACTATTCAAGTGGTTGTAGCATTTAAACGATCGCCGTCTTTGAGGTACCATAGCGATATGCAACGCCTGATCAGGGGTTGAGGTTTGCGCAGTAAACAAGAGAAGGGGTTGAGAGGCGAACACTTCTCAGTGCGCATTCGTGCTGGTATGCCTCAAATTTTGGGCTTTATTGGAGCTAACCAAGAGCATTCTGAAGCAGCGACGAGGACAAATATGGCTAACCAGCAAATGCGCTTCTCCAAGTATCTGAACATAGAACAAGGTTGAGAACCGAGAGAAGTCCAATGCAAAATTGTATACCCAAGTCTTTACCTCGGTACTAACCGAAAATCGAAATCCGACTCAGACGAGTGTTGCAAAATATCAGAGAAGCATTCAATGCAACTGGCTGAACCCTCTTGATCTCGGAATGATATCATTGAGTTTAGATTGTTGCGTCAAATGTAACCAGAGTGGTGCTCGAGCCAATGAGGATGGATTCAATGGACCCATCTCATGGTTTCTTGATTGATACTTTTTTGAGTCAAGCTACCAGATCATCGTCTTCACCTGAATAGAAAGCACGGTCTTATTGCTGTATTTTTTTTTTTCCCCTATTTTTTTTAACCCTGCACCGACAGATAGGAGTGATGATAAGAGCATGCACTCCTACCTGTCTTGCAGGGGCTCCAGTCGGTCTAGACCATGGCAGCGGCGGACAAGTGAACCGGACAAGTCCGGACACCGGAAACCGGATTTCCCGGTTTCTTCCGAACGTCCGGATTTCCGGTATTTCCTGGTTAATCCGGACATGTCCGGATCGGCCTGTCCGGATCCCTGTCCAGATGGGTGTACATGTCCGGATTTATTAAAAAAAAAAAAAAAAAAAAAAAAAAAAAACTGCTATACAAAGTACTGCAAATGGGTTGCAAACAACGAAAAGGCCATGTGGCACAGGTAGGGGCGGGGAGGGGAGGTTATAGTGCGTACATGTCAACAACCAGATGAGGGAAAGGAGGGTGAAGATGTGGAGGAGCAGCAGGAGGAGGGCAAAGACGTGGACGGGGAGGAGCGGGAGGAGGATGAAGACAAGGAACATGACGACAAAGTTCCGGAAAAAAAAGGAAAAAGGGTGCCACATGGCATGAGCAGGGAAGGGAGCGGGGGAGGTTATAGCAAGCACATGACGATGACCAAGACGAGGAGGAGGAGCGAGAGGAGGACGCAGACATCGAGAAGGAGGAGGCGGATGGAGGAGCAGAAAGGAGGAAGACCAAGACAACAAAACGACGAGAGAGAGAGAGAGAGAGAGAGAGAGAGAGAGAGAGAGAGAGAGAGAGAGAGAGAGAGAGAGAGAGAGAGAGAGAGCTGCTTCCACTCCTCCTTGCTGGGCTCCTCACGTGGTCTTCGCTGCACCCACTGCCAGCTCTCCTGCGCCTGCTCCGCATCTGCTCCTTGCCTGCTATGGCCGCCTCATTCCCCTGCTTCTTCCTCCCTTTGACAATGGTGGTAGTGGCGGGCATGCAAGCTCAAACGTTGTTGTGGGAGGGGGGGCGGCCGAACTCGTGAGGCGGGAGGATGAATTCAAAGACTGTGCCCACTACGAAGATGCCACGATGCAAGGACGACATTCAAACGGGCAGAAACATAGAAGGAAGAAAACTTCCCACAGGCAAAAAAAAAAATTCTGGCCCTACCGGATGCCCCTTCAGGGCCAAAAAAAATGTGCTCGTATTTTTGGCTGGCGGCCCTGGGCGAGACGAAACGCCCTGGACAGCCAAAAAAAAAATTGGCCGTTGGCCAAAGGGTCTGGAATCCGGACCGGGATCCGGACAAGTTCACCGGACACCGGACACCAGACTGTCGGGATCCCTGTACGGAGGTCCGGATCACTGCCATGGTCTAGACTGAAAGCTGCCCCAAATACAGCTATAATGTTGGGGCAGGTGAAGATGGTAGCGATGATGATGCAGTGGCTAAACAAACAAGCATCAGTTTGAAAGGCAGGGACATCATAGGGCTGAGTCGAAAAGCAGGGCATGCAAAAGACATTTTGTCTTGACTAGGTATGATGAGACCCATAGTGCACAAGATTGCTGCTGTCTTCTCTCGAACACAACACAGCCTGATCGTCGATGTATACATGCAATCATTCCCGTCTTGATACAGTCATGATCAGGGTGCGTTATGTTCGGCGAAAGACAGTAGGGCCTATTTCTCTGGCATCAGGGTAGGTTTGCTTGTCTTTGTTCTTTCTGAAAAAAAAGAAGATGATCAACAAACGATTGAACAGATTCATAGTGGCTATGGTTTGATGGACAGTACCAAATGCCCATTGGATAGTACTAACGCCTGAATGCCACTGTTGTTATTTGGCAGCTTGGTCCTCCTCGGCTTTGTCCATGTGTAGCCATCATCAAATGATCGGCTCTCGTATATGTAATCAGCACCTCTGCTCCGGAAATATGCAACCAATATCCCATCATGCCGCAGACGCACCTGCATAGAATGATCAGCAATCAGTTGGAAGTTATTTGGCATTCGCCGCTGAAGCCCCAGCGCAAAAACAAATCAAAAAAAAAAAATCAAAAAATTCCGAAAAATAATAATGTTGTGTAGAATTGAAATACAAACGACTTTTGGCTGAGGGTCATATTATAATTCCTCACAGAATCGGAGACAGAAAAGAAAATAACAAAATCACACAAAGGCACCCCCCTTTAAACCCTTTAGCCCATTTAAGACCAATTAACACCCCCTTCCCCCCCCCTTGACAGCCAACTCGCAAAAAAAAGAAATGAGCCCGGATTTGGGGTCCTCTGGGAGAGCGCAGAAAACCAAAAAAAAGAAGAACGTGTGGTCCGCTGTCGCTGAATTTGCCATCTTCAGCCTCGGTCCGCCATGCCTTTGCCATCGTGAGCAAATCTCTCTCCTCGCTGAACACCACCTCGCGTCGCTGATTGCGTTCTTCATCAGCAGCCTTTGCTGCTGCCTCGTCGTGCTGGCGCTGCTGTTCGATCGCCAACAGACGTGTCTTCTCGGCGTCCTCCGCCTTCCTCTTCTCTGCGGCTGCTACTGCATCCGCCCGTTGCTTGGCTTCTGTAATCTCGGCATCCCCTACCTCTAGTCCGCAGCGCAGCGCTGGTCCACCAGCGTGTCGCTCGAGAAGTGAGCTACCCGAACTGTGTGTTGCCCAGCCGCTGCCCAGCTATATGTAGCGCTGGGCGGGCTGGGCCTACCTGGTGCAGGCCTCAGAAACGGCCCGGCTGGTCTGGGTCCCTACCGGACGTCCAGACCATGCTGCTGATGCAGCAGGCGCAAAAACGTGCCAGGCCTGGATCAGGCACTGTTTCTGTGTACCTGGCCCAAGGCGCCGCCTTGGTGCCTGTGGTCCGAAACGGTATTGGTACTGTTGAGTCAGGCGCCAAAACCCGCCCGGTTTCGGAAGGGCCTCGTGCCTCTGTACCTGGCCCAAGGCGTTGCCTTGGGGTCTGCATGTCCGAAACGACGTCTGCGCAGACAAGGGACAAGACAACAGGTAAGTAAATACATAAATAAATAACTACTGCCGCCTCTTATTTGGAATCTGCGGCCTGGGGGCCGCCATGGGCCTCCAGGGCGCATGTCTGATGGCATGCGGCCTGGGGGGCCCTCAGCGACCGTCGGGCCCCTTAAAATGGGCCCGTGTGCAGGCGCAGCATGTAACACATGAGAGAGACAAAAGGGCCTAAAACTTGCTGTCGACACCGAGCCTCACATTCTGTGCCTAAATGGTTAAGCCTGCCGGGTCACAATAAGGAGAGGTGAAAACTTAAGAACTCTAGTGTTTCTAATATTTTTCCTTGAAACAGAGGAACCTGCCCTGTGTTCCTGCTTTTTTCGGGAACTTTTGTCAAACGAAATGAGAAATAAAAGCCGCCAAATTTATGGCTGTTATGATCCTGGCCAGTTTCGAAGTACAAACTCATGAGAAAGCACAATGTCGTCCAATTGCAAAAAGAAATGAATGAAATTGAGAGGAGAAAGAGGGAAAGAAGAAGAAGAAGAAGAAGAAAGAAAGAAAGAAGAAGAAGATGTACACGAGCAAAGACCAATTATAATTCCCTTCTTCTCGACAACCTCTCTCCTCCTCCTTTTCTCCTCCTCCTCTTTATTCACAATAAATAATACTAATAATGTTGAATGGCTGAACCAGAATCAATGTCCTAAACCCTCTTCTACTGCAGGTACAACATGAGGTCCACCATAGCCATGGCCACCCGTCTCCTTCCTCTCAATGAAGGCTGAGGCTATGCGGGACTGCTAAGGCCTTGCCCTGACGTGCAAATTACAACTCAAAGCAGCTATGGCTGCTTTAGCTCAGGCCAACATGCCTGACTCTACCTCGAAGCTCTAAAGTGATGAATTAAGGATTCCATGGATTGTTTCATTTGAGAGCGTGAAGGAGGACAAAGTTTACGATCATCCGCTTTGATCATGCCACTAGGCATTTTGGTGTAGCTCTACGTCAACTAGGGCCTTCCAGATGTAGCGCCCACCAAGGTGATGAAGATGGTGTCCACCACAGCCAGGTAAGTACCTCTGGTGCTCCCCCTTCCTAGTCCGCCTCCTCCAGCCCGTGCTCCTCCACCATAGCCAAGGTGGAGAGCTGGGCGCTCTTTCCTCCCCAGCAGCACTGCTCCAGCCAGCACTCCAAGCAGTGTGTCGCCATACTTGCACACCGTAGAATGAGGAGGAGCACTTCGCTCCTCCTGGAGATATAGCGGCCTGTTTGCCTCTTAGGTGATGACTTCCAGGCCGCACAGCCTCCAAGCAACCGGTACCTCCTCCCGTTCAGAGGGAAACATCATTGCGGACTCTGATATTGCCCTTACAGGCCCTAGACTCAGACTACTTGGACTGGTACCCGCCTAGACCTAGTACAACTACTGGGTCTCTAAACTTTTGTCTTCTTCCGCTCGGCCTCCAGTCCCCGACACATTTTCCACTACTTGAGTGGTACCGGCCTACCTGCTACTCGAGTGTTTTTCCTTGCTGCTCTAAGTGTTGCGGGCCTACCCTCGCTACTTCGAGTGTTTTCCCCACTGCAACCCTCAAAGTCACTGCCACAGGTAAGTGCCGGCCCTACGGGCCATCCAAGCAAGCAAGTACCCTTGCGGGTCGCACACACACTCAAGCCGACAAGCACTCAGACAGGCAAGCAGATCAGCAAGCACGCACATAAGACTTGGAAACTCAGCAGAAAGCCGGAATCTCAGCAAGGCATAGATTCCATTGGCAAAACTCAGAAATCAGCTGTGTGTCTCAGTCAGCGATTTTACGGGTTGTTACATGGCACTCAAAATGGTTCCGCAGCACGCACATTCATTTCCGGTCTCTGGGACTCTGACATACGGATGTATGCCCGGTTATGTATGGGAGAAACTCCACAAAAAAGACTCGGAGACACATATGGGAAAAACAGAAAGCAAACGGAAACAACTTGTCAACGACCAGGAAACTAGACAAGAGAGGGATCCCTATCAGTCCCACTCACCACAGATGGCTGAACAAGTTTCCCCTTGGTTCCCCTCATCATAGTCCCCTCATCCCAAGTAAATCCACCATCCTTACTCCTCTTGATAGCAGAATACTGAAGAGAATGAGCCTCTGCACCACCCGGAGTATAATACAAGGGAAGCAGCCATTCTCCCCTTATCGAGCGGAGTAGCTGGTTCTTTGTAAACGAACCTGCAAAAGGGTTTTATTTTCACCCAAATTCAGAGTCATGGCGGGCAATGCACATATGAGACATGAGTACACGAGAAGCGGTTAATGGAAGGCCCAAATTTCGGCGAATTTTGGCGAAATTTTCACCAAAACTGCCATATTTTCCTGAATTTTTACTTTTTTCTTGGCTTTTTTTTTTGCTTGATACGTATGTGCTTTAGGGTATATCTGTATTCAATTTCGCCGCATTTCCTGAATACAGTTTTTTTTTTTTTTTTTTTTTCCTGTTTGTTTTTTTGTTGTTTGTATTATGACCCTGCATGGTTTGGTTCGCAAAAGTTTCGACAACATTGCTTGTAGCGACGCGGCAAAACCCCCCGAATTTTTTGCCTTCCATTAACCGCTAGTGGAGTACACAGCCTCACTCAAGACAGTCGTCATTGCATAAAAGAGAGATTCTGACTTTCCGTACATAGGAGATATGAGGTAGTTTGAGCTCCCAAATCCAGAAAATGAAGGGCATACTCACAATAGTATCTTTTCCACTACGTTACCAGAAATTTGACAGGTCGGGGCAGTCGCAAGCGCTGCCCATCAAACCCATTTCTCCACCCATCAGATGTTAACAGCCTACCCAGGCATGGATGGTAATATTTTGTGGCTACCTCCAGAGGGCCCGCAACCCAGTGTTCCTTTGTTCTCCATACTTGAGACAGATTCGTCACAATACGCACTGTGCATTGCACTGCGCGACTGCCCTGCCTCCCAAAAACCTCGAATCTGTCCTGCCACTTCTTGGGTCCTTACTGAAAACTGGGCACAGTATGACTGCTCATCCCACCAAACCTGGGAAATTGGGGAGGAAATAGGTAGCGCGAGTATGCCGTAAAACTGTTACAACACGTATCATAAGAGTATACTCACACTAGGCCCTCAAAATCACAAAATCATGAAATGAGCGGCCAGATCGAGTCCTCCTTTTACAAGGACTCAATCTGGCCGTTCATTTCGCGATTTTGTGATTTTGCGATTTTGCGATTTTGAGGGCCTAGTGTGAGTATGCCCTAGGAACCATACATTTACAATAACGTGATATGGAAATTATTATTATTACCGAGCCCATGTGGCTGAGTGCTACACCCATGTCACTGTTGATAAGCGGGTCTGAGTTTGAATCCTGATGTGAGGCTCCAGGCCTCCGTGCACATCAGTAGGACCGAGTAGGTCGGCTCTGCAAAAGCCAGGCTGCCCTGAGGTAAGGCGGGCCTGAGGGAAATGACGCCCGGCCCAGGGGAATGTTCTGGGCCTGAGAACAGGCGCCAGCCACTGGAAGTACCGGTAGGCCCAGCCCACACAGTTGGTTGTGGAGGCTGGGTATCGTGCTCAGATCCAGTAGGCAAGGCACTGCCTACTGGACCCAGACAGTGGCCTCCAGAAGAAGGCCAAACGAGGAGGCTGCAGTAGGAATGGACATGTGGGCAGTAGACCACTTGCAGCAGCGCTGAACAGTGCTGAGGTAGGAGGAGCACAGCCCAGGAGGAAGAAGAACCTACAGTGGCTGCTGGATAGCATCGGCCATAGCTGGTTAGCACTACCAGGGCAGCAGGGTGGCAGAGTGTGGACACAGTCGGGAAGAGTAACGCAGGCAGTGGGGACTGAGGATTCTTACCTGGTGTTGGTGGAGGAAGCGTGTGGGCAGAGTCTTCAAGCAGCATCCCGCAAGTGACAGGTTGACAGAGAGTGAGGTGTAGTAGGTTAGCGTGAGTAGAGGAAGCAGGACATAGAGTCGAGGAAGTACGAAGTGTGAGGCATAGGCCTCGATATGCCCTACTGGGTCCCTACTTGCAACTGGTCGGCCGCCCTAAGTGAAGGCAGGCCCGACAGACAACAAGAGGCCTATTTTTGACTACTTCGCAACTGGGGAAAATTCAGGCAGTTGCACAGCGCCAGTTGGTTGAAGGCGCCCAGGCCCTGGCCTCCTTTATCGACTGTATCTAAGTCAGGCCCTGGGCGAGATACGCAGCATAGGCCCAGCTCAGACAGCGGGCAGTTGGGACCGGGTAACTGTCGGTGGCCCTGGGCCTGATTCGTTTGGTCTGAGGCTCAGCCTCCCTGGGCCTACCAGAAGCTTCTGGGCAGGAACTCAGCACAGCCAGGCTGCACGCAAGCAGGCTGGCCATTTCCACTTCGGAAAGGGGCAGCCTACGCATTCGGCACTCGGGCACTGGCTGCTTTGTGCGCAAGCGCTGCTGCGCTATCGCCTGCCAGGCTCACGCGCTCACGGGCGAGCTGGAAGGAGCAGGCAGCCATAGCCGAGCTGCGCTGCTGTATGTTGGATGGGGCGCATGGTGGTCCTTGGGTGCAAGTGGCATCTGTGAGTTGGGGAACGAGGTTGTGAGTGATACGAGAGACATACGTGGTGCTTGAAGCGTGCGGCATTGGCCGAGATCTGCTCGTACTTCGGGGAGCTGTTGACGTCATCAGTGGCATTGTAGAGTAGGCTAGATGGGATCTGCCATCTGTAGTCTGGGCGCCAAGTGCCTGATAGGATATCAACATTGGTTCTTCGTTGATGATGATGATGAGAATATTCCAGCATTGTCAATTATGAGCTTTTGGTGTGCTCTTATTTGGTGAAACTCGTGATGCAATTCTGCTTTTGGTTCGAGGTCACGACTATTTGGTCTCATGTGTATGATGCTGTTTGATTGCTGAAGTTCGC